CTGAGAAATTTGCCAGATCCAATGCCGAATGCACATTTCGAGGCGTTTAGTTTTATCTTGTACTTTCGGAGAATGTCGACGGTCTCTGCTAAATCGGCTAGATAGGCATGCTTTTCCTTGGATTTCACCACCATGTCATCGATGTATACTTCTATGGTGCGGCCGAGTTGTTCCTTGAATATAGTGGTAACTGGTCTCTGGTAAGTTGTCCCCGCGTTCTTCAGTCCAAAGGGCATGACCTTGTAGCAAAAGGTTCCCCTCGGGGTGAGGAATGCTATCTTTTCTTGATCCTCCAGATGCATGGCAAGTTGGTGATAACCCCTGTAGGCATCCAAGAAGCTCATGAGCTGGTGATGTGCCGTTGCATCCATAAGTTGGTCGATTCTAGGAAGAGGAAAACAATCCTTTGGACAGGCCCTGTTCAAGTCCATGAAATCGACACAAATGAGCCAAGATCCATTTTTCTTCTTTACAACCACAATATTGGATAGCCATGTGGGATAAGTGACTTCACGAATTGCCCCGGCATCAAGTAGTCTGTCAACTTCATCAACAACGGCCGATGCATGCTCCGCGGTTGACCACTGACTTTTCTGAATGATTAGTTTGACTTTTGGATCGATGTTTAAACGATGTTAGGCCACGATTTGATCCACCCCCAGCATCTCGTATGGTGTCCACACAAACACGTCAAGGTTGCCGAGCAAGAACGACACCAGCTCACGTTTATCAACTTCGTTCAAGGAAGTGCTGATCATGAAGAATCTGTCTTGACTCCCATTGATTTCGATCCGATCAAGATCTTTAGTTGCCTTTTCATTAGGGGTTTTTCCAATGTCCTCGAGGATCTCTCGATCCGGTATTTCAATCGAGTTCACTTCCAATTCCTTTGGCCTCTTTGCAGCAGTGATAAGATAGCATGCCTGTGCCGATTTCTGAGAACCCTCGAATTTGCTCAATGCCATACTCGGTTGGAAAGCGGAGTAGTTGATGATAGGTGCTCGGCACAGCCTGCATAGTATGTAACCAAGTCCTTCCCATGATAAGATTGTATGGTGAAGGGAGTTTGACGACTAGAAATTCCACGTCTACTGATCTGTTATTCCACCCGTACTGGTAGTGTGATCTTACCCAAGGGATACTCGGGGTTAGCGTTAAAGCTGAACAATGGGTAATCAGCCGATAATAGATCCGAATCAGCGAAGTGGAGTTTAATAAACATCTTGTAATACATTATTTCTGAGGTGCTTCCCTGATCAATGAGAACACGCTCAACTGTGAATCTGTTCATACGTAGCTCGACGGCAAGGGGATCAACGTGGGGGAGAGTTACTCCATCTAGGTCGGTGTTATCGAAGCTAATCCCACCAGTTTCGTGGGGCCGTTTGGCTCGTGTGATTGGTTTGGGTAGGCTAGGTTGCAACTGAATTGTATGTATCTCGGTCGACGAAGGCAGGCTGTATATCATGTGAATTACACCAAGTGAAGGTGAATCCAAAAAGTAGGGTTACCGTGTTCGATGAATTGTTCTTTCGAACATGTTGTGCCAGCTGGCTGTCTTGTACCAACTCCTCCAGGTGGTCCTTCATTGCATAACAGCTGTCAGTATCGTGGCCATGGTCCTTGTGATATTCACACTGCTTATCTCTTCTCCTTGTATCAGGAGGTCCCATCATCTTGGACGACCACTTAAAGAACATAAGATGTTGGACTTTGGCCAGGATCTTACTGATTGTCTCCGCTAATTCCGTATACTTCTTGTCTAAACGTCTTGTGCGCCTGCTATCCACTTGATATTGTTCGTTTGAACAGTGCAAATATTGGCCGTTTGAATGGCGCGAATCACGCTGGTTGTCTCGTTTAGCCCGAGCCCGTGGTTCGGGGCTCCTTGATGGAACGGCGCTTATCGGCTGAACCAGACCAGATGGTGCCGATTTAACAACTTTCTGTCCGGCCTTGATGTATAGGGCATCGTCTTCCACCTTACAGTATTTTTCAACTTTCTTCATTAGCGCCCAGACTATTTTGGGAGGCCGTCTGGTCAACGAACTGCGAAGAGGACTATCAGGATGTAATCCTATCTTAAAGGCGGTAATGGCCATGGAATCATTGCAGGCGTTATCTACCGAGTTAAAATATTCCCAATAGTGCGCCGAATACTCGCGGAGGGTCTTTTCTAGTTTAATTTGTATTGCCCAGAGAGAGTCAGCTTGCTTTGGCAGAACTTCGTTGGTGATGAATCTTGCCCTGAAGGATTTTTGGAGTTGATGAAAGCTTCTTATTGATGCCGACGCCAGTTTATAGTACAATCTGATGGCCAACGGTCCCAGGCTACTTGGAAACATTCGATACATGAGGGCTTCATCATCAGCATACAACGTCATCGCTTGTTTATAATGACGAATATGGTCAATGGGATATGATTTGCCATCGTATAGGGTAAATGTTGATGCTTTGAACTTTTTAGGCAACACAGCCCTTGCAATGCGTTGTACAAAAGGGTCGTGCCTGTCCTCTTCATCTGAATCGTCACTTTCTTTCCCTCTCCTGTGCTGTACATATGGACTTCCTTTGGATGAGCTGGATACATTGACTCGCCCCTTCTTTCTGGGTTCCTGAGATGGTGAGTCGGAATCACTGCCATTATCATATTTCCAAAGTCGACGCCGTCGATCATCCTTCTTCTTTTTTGGGGATCGACCCCGGTCATGGTGTGTGGCTTGTTGGGATTTGGCTAACTCCAGGGCCAATTCCTTACGCAAACGCTCGTTCTCAACCATCATATCTTCTAGATGCTGTTCGTTTCGTTTTGCTTGATCCATGATCGTTTGCACTGTCTCCTGCACAGAAGTTGAGGGTAAGGTTTGAGCTACTGGGTCGAAGTTCAAGGCCCGTCGCGCGGAGATATTCTCCGGTCCAAGTATGTTTCTTGGAGTAATGTCATCTCTTGGTGTAACATCGTCAGCAACTATTGAATGATCATTGTTACGCCTGCCATGGGCAAACTTGAGTATTCCCACAGACGGCGCCAATTGTGGAGAAGTGGTTTGGATATACTCTAGAATCTAGTTAGACGTCCTTGATCCTCAGATTGCTACCTGAAAAAGGGATGAACACTCCGGTCGGGGGTGTTGGAATTAGTACTCCGATGGACAAGTCAATATTCTCTCCAATTTACTTCTATCTCAAGTTAACTTGTAAATTTTCACATACCTCCTTTGGCTGACATTCCTCTCTTTTTAAATTACATCTGGGCCCAAGGGTCAGGCCCACTCTTGATCTCGTACATAGTTACTTAGTCGGCCTTCCAGCTGAGTGTTAGCTCCTATTCGGCTCCTTATGTGGCCGGTTCGTATATTTGGCTTCATGAGCCCTTGGTTAGGGCCGAATTGCCTTTGGCCTGATGTCGATCAAATGCCTTGGCTTCTTCTTAATTGATTTTATTCGGCCTCTACAGGGTCTAATGGAATAATAAAAAATGATTTGAATTTTATGATATAAAAGTTTTAGAAACGGATTTATGAAAAAAGTTCCCTATTAATAATAATGAAATTACTACGTCAATATTATTTAAACATTCTACATTACTTACTCATCATTACTTGTTAGCATTAAATTTAAATATATTTACTTTTATAGCCAAACAAATAAATAAATTTTGTGCTATTTTTTTAATTAAAAAAAAAACAACTATAATCATGGTAGTAATTTTTTTTGCTGGATAAAAGAGATTAAAAAATAATATATATATACAAATTTTATTTTAACTGTTTTCTCTATCTTGTAACCACTCCAATCCTATTCTCTATCTTGCTTTTTATCCAAACTAATTTATGATTGATAGTGGATTATAGCGTGTGACATCAGTGTTAGAGATGGAAGAAAAGAACTTTCATTGGCACCCAATGTAGAGAGCAAATAAAGAAGGAGCTAAATTAATTTAGTGTTTAAGAAAGAGAAAAAGTGTGTGAAATTAGGTGAAATTTAGACATGTTTTATTCATATTTTACCTACCTTTTTTATTTTTCTTTTCAAATCCCTTCTCAAATTCCCTAACCAAACGCAGCATAAATGTAGAGAGCAAATAAAGAAGGAGCTAAATTAATTTAGTGTTTAAAGTGGCCGTTAGAATCTCCATCAAACTAATTATTTTTATTTTTTAGATAAAACGGTGAGTAATAAATTACTAAGGCCAAGTTTGGAGACTTTAAAAAAAGTCAAAAAGTCAAAAAGTTACTCAAAAAGTTAAAAAGTTAACACTATTCACCAAAAGTCAACAAAATTTTGAATTTTGCTTATTTTGAAAAGTGATTTTAATTTAAATAGGTCCCTACGAATCAATTTTTTCATTTTTTTATTACACATTTTTCAATAAAAAGTCAAAAAGTTAACCCAAACATCCATATTTTCAACCTCAATTTTTTAGTCCAAAAAGACAAAAAGTGCACTTTTTTAGTCTTCCCAAACTTGGCCTAAATTTTACTTCTACCAAACTAGCTATCAAGTTAGTCATTAGTCTTGTTGATTTTGACTCAACAAATGTAACTAATGGTTTCACCTAGTTAAATATTAGAAAAATATTACTTTTTTTATTTTGAAATTAATTGGGTTGAGTTTATGAAAAATAATTCTAAATTAAAATGAATAAAAATAATATTTAAAAAATATAGAAAAAGAATAGAAAGTTTGTAATGTATTAAAAAAAGAATAATATTTGAGAGTTCTAATTTAAGAGTTCTAATGCAACTCTAATGATGTGGAGAGTGCCCAAGTAAAGGTGGGGCTCACACTTCTCTATCTATCTCTCTCTACTCTCTCTCTTTCACCTGACTAGAACTCTAGTATTAGAGCTATGTATACAACCAAAATAGAAAAAGTAACTTAAAGTCAAAATATAACAAAATTTAAACTAGTTTGATAGAGATGCTAGAGCAGTAAAAAACAAAAATAACTATCTTAACTTGCCATTATTTTTGTTTCCCATCTAATCTGATTTCCCATATATTGCAATTTGGACATAGTAATTGTAATAGATCAATTTTGAACAAAAACAATTCGGAAAGTTAAATAATCAGCTTCATATATACATTCATTTGGAGCACTGATGCTGTTAAACAGAAGGCCCCTTCCCAAATAAATAAATAAATAAACCTTTAAAAAAAATAAAAAATAAAAGCAAATGAAGTTATGAGCTTCTGCTAAATAGTCATCCAAAAGTGAATCATCAGTGGCAATCCAAGCATCAAGGACCACCATTTTCCAATCAACGATTTAAAGCGGTTTGATCCGCTGCAAATGAGCTTGTGGTTGTGATATGTGCACACAGTTTGGTTCCTGAAATCATCAGCCAACAAATGTTTGTTTAGCCAATAATCATGCATTTAATCAAAGCCAAACAATAGACAGAAGGGAAATATTATCAAGAATCAACGATAAGATGTTTGCTAAGTACACCAAAAATTCACGAGAGAACATAGCATATAACAAACCAGAGCAAACAAACAAATCATGTCTCATTTTGTAATTAATTCTTTCTTTTATGCTGTGTTTGGTTGGGGGATTTGGGAAGGGATTTGGAAAGAGAAATGAAAAAGACAGGTGAAATATAAATAAAATATGTATGTATTTCACATAATTTCACACACCTTTTCCCTTTTCCTTTCCAAATCCGTCGTCAAATTCCTTAAGCAAACACACCATTAGGGATGACAACTAAGCGGGTATGAGTCGCGGTGCCTTGTTCAATGAATATTAGTCCTTTATTCATCCCACTTCACAAGACTTATGTGCCGCCCTTCACCCGTTTATCTTTACAACTTACATTTGCAACATTGAATTCTAAAAATATGGTTTTACAATCGAAGATAAAATAATAATTTTTAAAGATCAAGTTATATGTTCATTAGATGCAGATCTATAGTAGGATTGTAGTGTCAAAGGAGAAGAGAAGAGGTGCAACATAAAAAGATTATAGAATGGAGGAAAAAACGCATCAACTTATTTCAACTTTTTCAATAAGGAAATAATTAGCTTTTTTAGCATTTGTCAATCACGTCAATTGTTTTAGCAATTTTATCCTAAAAAATTAAAAACAAAAAACAAAAGAAGTACTAAACGAACAATTTCCAAAACCTTAATGACAATTACGGTGGATGAGAGGAAAAGGGGCGGTGACGTTTGTGGTCAAAGGGAGGCAGAGCGGTGTGGGGGGAAAGAGAATTATGCAAGGGAGAGCTTACCTAGGTGATGGGAAGAAAATTTTATTATATATTTAATTTTATATAGAGAGAAAAAAGTTCATCAGTTGTGTTTGAAACAAAGATGGACCTTATTCTTTGGATGTGTTTTTGGAATTGTAAACTTTTAAAGCTATGTTTGTTAAAAAAATTCACTACATATATCAAACAAATCTTCTATTTGTGCAAAAATTAATCACAAAATTATATATAAATCTCTCATATAAGTATGGAATTCATATAAAGATATGATTAATCTATGTAAAAAATGTGTGTTCAATTCTGTGATCAGTTTATGCATTTGTAATAAAAACACTTTAATGATATAGTGATTGAGTAACATTTTGTATTGGACGATTAGAGTATCGTCTTCAAAAACATTAAAATCTATGTAACCATTAATCAATCAATAATTATAAAGATTAAAAGAAAATGTCTGACCTGGATGAGCAAAATGTGACAACATAATCTCCCGCTGAACATGTAAAAATGCTAGTAGGATCATCATAAGCATAGCTATAAGCTGTAGGGCATGCTGCCTTGAATTTCTTCGAGTAAAATGTAGGTTGACATATAACTGGATTACCATAAACACCCCTGCAACAATATTCGTCGGTGTTGAACACGTCGCATGCGCTCCGACATGCTATAGTCTTCCCGTTGGCCTTAACAGCGAGCTCCGAAGGACAAGCAGACCTCAAGTCCGAGACACATCCTGCAGTGGTGCAGTTTCCCCTTCCATTAATGGCTTTCACTGCCATCGGTATGTTGAAGCCATCAACAAGGCTAACATCGTAAAAATCAAGTGTGGCGAGGGTAAATTCAGCAAGCGTGGCGGGGGTTTCACCGGAGGCCGTGCACTTAAGGGTTGTGCCACATCTACCGGTTTGACACATACCATTGCCATTCTTATCGAAGTTGCAACCAGTTCGACCCCAAATTCGACCGCTCCAACCAACAGGGGCAGTTAACACAACAGATTGACCTGATTTTAATGCAAAACCACCACCATTGAAGTTCTCTCCTGGGGTGATTGCAGGCCAAATTGTCTCCTTGCAATTGTTTATTATAGTGAAAATTCTAGCTGATTCGGATACTTTTGGCCCTGTTCAATCCAAGACAATGATAGTAAAGGTTAATAGTTACAATTTAATGTAATTGACTTATGATTTGACATGATTTAGTTACGTTCACATATGATTTGATTACCATTTTATAAACTTTTGAGTACACTCAAAATCCTGGCTACAATCTAAAATAATATGCTCATAACCAAATTACACTTAGTCGGAACTCAACCATATTAAATTGTAACTTGAAATTTTAAGTAATAAATGACAAACATATGGGATTGTGCATTATGCACAACTTTTCAAGTTGCATATCATAAAACTTTTCAAGGCAACTAATTAGTAAATACTCATTTGTGAAAAGATGGAAAGCTTGTTTTTTCTAAGACAATTTTTTTTAGGAGCCGCTTTTTTATGATTTCTCATAAAATTTTTATCATTAGACATAAAGATAGTACTATCCACATTATTAAATACATATAAAACCCATATCATTGTATCTATGATCGAAAAAAAAAAATCTGTTTATGTGCCTATAATAATGACTCGTAAAGAATTTATAAATGACAATCAAACAGGTCACTAAATATGAACAAGAAATTAACGAACAAAAAAAAAAAGAAAGATGGTTTTTATGAGAATACGTACCTGATGAAACTAGAATTACAATTAACAAAAAGACTGATAAAAGCATGCTCTGATATAATGCCATCTCTCTCTCTCTCTCTCTCTTTTTTCTCTGTGTGACTTTTGGTTGAGAGTTGAGGCAGTGGGGATGGGGATTTTTAATATATATGTTCATTATACAGAGGAAGGAGAGAGAGAGAGGAGAAGTATATACAAAGAGAGAATACGTGTGGAGGGAGTAAATAAAAGCACTTACCCTACCACTCCTTGGAAAGTTTTCCTTCGTAAAAATAGGTGATTCCTTCCCTAATTTGCTTCTGCAAGATTAGAAGATTCTTTTTCCATCCCTCCTCACTAGGCAATAGTAAACTTTATTTTTTTTTATCTTGATCAATTTATTATTATTATTATTAATGATAACAAAGCTTTACAAATACTTTCAAACCTACAAAAGTTATGCCCCGTGGTAAGATGTGATTTGTAATTGAGAACCGGACCTAACCAGGATTATAGTGTAAAGAGAAGTTATTGGTTGATCCGTGCGTAGTGTCACGTGATGTTTCATATGTATTGTGATGAGATTCATAATTTTGTATTAGTTGATTGGAGCATAAACGGATATAAGCTCTGTTTGGTGGAGTTTTTTTAAAGTTAAAAATTAATAATCAAAAAATAGAATGTAAAATCACATTTATCTCAGTTTTTAAATAATGATTTTTTTTTCAGCTTATTTAAATTATTTCTACCTAATAAGTTATAAGCAAAAATTACACCAAATAATCTGGTATAAACTCTCAAATTAAAATAAACTATAATCAATCTCAAAAAGTGTAATAAATAGTACCATAATGATCTAATCAGAGAATATGATAATTTATAATTGACTAAACATATAATTACATAATGCACCTGAGCCAATCAATAATTTTTCGTAGTGTAAAAAGCATTCAATTCTACGCACCAATCATATTAGCACGAGCTGTTAGACAAAATGCCAATCATATTACCAATCATATCTATACACCAATCATATTAGCAACTTCAAGGCGCTAGATAAAATGTCCTGTAAAAGTGCATAGATGACATGTTTGATTGGAAGGATTAGAGTATGAGATTGAGATTATTAATCCGTGGTCCCAATTATTCTATGTTTGTTTTGACATTTTGTTTTAGGATTATCAATCCAATGGACAATTAATCCAACAAATTTGTAGGATTATTTGTAATGGGACAGGGGTGGGATTGTGAATACCACACTAATTTGATTGGATTATTAATACCTCACTATTAGTCTTGTGGAATCAAACATACTATTTTTATTTTGTGGAACTAGTTTAATTAGTGTGCATTTTAATTATATTCTTTATTTTAGATAATTAATCAAATTACGTTAGATAATTTTTAGAAGAAAATATTATATATACAAAAATATAATTTTTTTTTTGACATGTTGCATTTGCATGAAATGGTTGTTGATGTGCCGTGACATTATTTACAAAATATCGATTTTTTAAAAAATATATTATTAAATTATTTTTTTAAATAATATTTTTATACCATTAATTTTAAATGATCATATTCTTTCAATGATAATATTTTCAAACGATCAAATGAATTAGAGCATGGAAGAAAACAGAAACCCAACAAATTTGATGGAAATAGCAAGCAAATATGGGCAAAATGGCAAGAAGACCTTTTGTCTAACATTGGATGCTAACTACTCGATAATTTTTAGAAGAAAATATTATATATACAAAAATATAATTTTTTTTTTGACATGTTGCATTTGCATGAAATGGTTGTTGATGTGCCGTGACAATATTTACAAAATATCGATTTTTTAAAAAATATATTATTAAATTATTTTTTTAAATAATATTTTTATACCATTAATTTTAAATGATCATATTCTTTCAATGATAATATTTTCAAACGATCAAATGAATTAGAGCAAGGAAGAAAACAGAAACCCAACAAATTTGATGGAAATAGCAAGCAAATATGGGCAAAATGGCAGGAAGACCTTTTGTCTAACATTGGATGCTAGCTGCTTGTGGAGAACCAAAATGAAAATAGGCAAAAATGTCTCTTAAGATGCAAAGTCCTTTGGAAGAAGACCAAAATAATTTCACTAGCAAAAATGCCTCATATAACTATTTTACCTCCTCCCTTAGAACAACTCTTAGTTGTACACTCCAACCATACTCTTTATTTTAATTAATCAATCAAATTAACTTAATTAATTTTTAAAAGAAAAATACTATAAATATAAATAAAAACATTTTTATGATATGTTGTTTATGCACCTAGTGTTAACATGGCATTTACAAATATTTATTTTTTAAAAAATATATAATTAATTATTTTTTAAACTAATATTTTATACAATCATATTTTTAAAAATAATAATGAGTTGGAAACAAGTATAGATGCAACAAAAATTGGGGGAGCAAGCACAGATAGAGATCTCAAAATAGTGGAAAAATCCTTTTTCTTAGCAATGGAGGCTAGCTAAATGTGGAAATGGAAATGAAAACGGACAAAATTTCTCTTTTTATGCAAAGCTTGTTTCATTAGTAAAAATGGCTCATGTGACCCTTTTGCCTCCTGATGCTGTTAGAGTTGCTCTTAACACGGAGTCAAACTCTTTTTCATCCTTTGATTTGTATTTATTTTATATGGCCTCGTCATTAAAATTAAAAGTTATGAGAAACAACATCAGGATACACGTATGAATATTGGTTGATATTGGACATTATCGAGCTATGAAAGTCCAAAAATTGAATTGCATCGGTATATATTTAAATTTTGAGATATAAAAAAGAAAAAATAGAAAAAAAAAATTGTGGGATTTGCTTTTTTGCTTCTAAAAATGTGGGTGGTGATAGGTTAGACAGAGGTTGGCTTCCCTCCAGTTCGTGATCGGATTGGAGAGTATTGTTGAGTCTGTGGGGGCCCACAACAAGTCTTGTATCGATAATATGAAGCGTTTAATGTGTAGAAATCGCCGAGTACTATATATTTGTAAAAAATCATGTCGATCAGATATCGATAGCTATGTGATCAAATCAGTTTTGTATAAAAAAGTGGACGGTGAAAAAAATAAACGGTTGACAGAAATCTGATTCGATGAGATAGCTATCGATATTCAATCAATGTGATTTTTTTATAAATATATAGTACTCGATAAGTTCTATACATTGAAGAATTCGAATTATCGAAACGAAACCCGTGATGAGCTCCTATAGGCCTAACAATATCCTCCAGTATCGGACTGGAGGGAAGCCCAGTTCGGTTAGAAATACCTCATTGTACAGAGAAGTTGTGTAGTCAGCCAAGTGTCTTTGCAACTGAACCACAATATCCACTGTATGGCTCTGATGAGTCTCTCAAGCTCTTTATCTTTTATTGAATTTGAAGATTTTTATATATAGTTTCACTTCATAGAGTTCAGAGCCTATTTCACTATTTTCTTGGAAGAGTTCAATGGACTATATATAAAAGAGATGATACCACAAAGGGCATGTTTGATTGGAAGGATTAAAGCATGAGATTAGGATTATTAATCCGTGGGCCCAATCATCCTATGTTTGTTTTGACATTTTGATTTAGGACTATTAATCCAATGGATAATTAATCCAACAAATTTGTAGGATTATTAGTAATGGGGTAGGGGTGGGATAGTTAATACCACACTAATTTAATAGGATTATTAATACCTCACTATTAGTATTGTGAATCAAACATGACCAAAGAGTAAGATAAAATGATTTTTTCTCATCAAACTATAACTCCTCATATTAAAATAAATAAATAAATAATTTGTGATTACAATTATCTCAAGACAATTTGGGGAGTCTTTCTTTAAATCATATACGAAACCAATAAATGCCAGATTTACTTGCAAATGAAGTCAAAGAGGGGAGGGACTTCATACATTTCAATCTTTTTCTAAGAAAAAAAGAAAAAGAGAAAAAACATGCTCTTAACTTTAAATCAACATGATTTGTTTTAAACTTGTTAGAGATGAGTGTTGATTATGGCTCAAAATCGCGGTGTCTAGAATCAAATTAAAGTGAACTTGCTTTGGTTACAGCTCAAAAATATGTTTGATTGTCTTTTAAATATTGATTATGCTCAAAACAGTCTTAGATATAAAAAAAAAGAAAAAAAAAAAGGTGAATACAGTCTTAGATATAACTCAAAGGGAAAATTAGTGAAACATTTCTCTCCAACTTTGTGTAGTAGGAAAGGTTCAAGATGTTTTTTTTTTTTTTTTTTTTTTTTTTTATTTCAGGTTCAAAATCTTTTGAGCATTATATATTGTGCTATTGCAAGATACACAAGATCATGCAACATGTGAGCCTAGAACCCTATACCACAGAATGTACAAAACAGCTGGGTCCATCACATTGATGTTGTTTTGTGGAACATGGATAGCAGCAGGTGTACTATAGAGTGGCACAACAGATGAATCCATAGACGTGTCAGCTAAATATTCTCACAAACATCAATTCATTGTCAACCAACAATTCTTTCTCAATTTTGCTCCTAGTAAAATCCACGAACCAGAGTATGGTCCACCACGATGGCAGATTTGGCTTATTATAGTTCCCAGCAACTGCTCTGCCGTGTTTTTTAACTGCATCAAATTTAGCAATAAACCTATTTTTGTGCAAACTACATAGAAATACAATTTGACAAAGAACAGCACAAAATAGAGGCTCTAATCCATGAAATGCGAAACCATAATTGATAAATCAGAAATGTGGGCTCAAAGGACGTTACCCTTTTTAAATCATCAAAATTAGCAAAATAGGTTGAGAGAAATTAAAAGCTATAAAGATGTTAAATTACCAGCTGCCCCAAAAGTTTAACCGGTTAATGATGATCCCTCACAATTTGAACTGAATAGGGTGCACAAAAACAAACAAAACATAATAAAATAGACACTAACAAACACATATAACAAGACTTGACACCTCCAATAAACAAAGCTCCAATATTAGGTTACATTAATGCTTGCACCAAAAGCTTTTGCT